CTCCTCCATCCTCCCCCTCCACTCCCACCTCCTCCTCCTCGGCCTCTCCGCCGACATCCGCCTCCTCACCACCCTCATCGACGCATACGCCAAATCCTCCCGCACCGACCTCGCTTTCCTCGCATTCCACGAAATGCCCCTCCGCGACATCGCCACCTGGAACACCCTCCTCCTCTCCCTCCTCCCCCACCACTCCCTCTCCCTCTTCCGCCTCCTCCGACACCACCCCCCTTCCCAGCGCGAAACCCCCGACGCCATCACCATCATCGCCGCCCTCTCCGCCTCCTCCCAACTCGGCTCCCTCGCCGACGGCTCCTCCGTCCACTCGTACGCCGAATCCCTCGGCCTCCACGACGACGTTCGCGTCCGCAACGCGCTCATCGACATGTACGCCAAATGCGGCGACATCTCCCGCGCCCTCTCCCTCTTCCGCTCCCTCGATTCCAAAACCCTAGTCTCCTGGAATGCCGCCATCATGACCCTCGCCCTCCACGGCCGCGGCCGAGACGCCCTCCAACTATTCGACGAAATGCTCAGCTCCAGCCCAATCCAACCCGATGCCATAACCTACCTCGCCGTCCTCTGCGGCTGCAACCACGCCGGTCTTGTCGACGACGGCCTCCGCATATTCCATTCCATGACGATTCCCCGCACCGTCAAGCACTACGGCACCGTCGTCGATCTTTTGGGCCGTGCCGGCCGGCTCCGTGAAGCCTACGGTGTTGTCACCACCATGCCCTCCTCGCCGGACGCCGTCATGTACCAAACTCTGCTCGGCGCCTGCAAGACCTATGGGGACGAGGACATGGCCGAGCTGGTTTCAGAAAAGCTCAGGGATATGGGTTCCAATGGCTGCGGAGACTTCGTGCTGCTGTCCAATGTATACGCGGCGAAGGCGCGATGGGAAGACGTGGGTCGGGTGAGGGACGCCATGAGAGAAGGTGAGGTGAGCAAAGTTCCGGGCTTTAGTTACATGGAAGTCGGTGGTTTTGTTCACAGATTTATCAATGGCGACAAGGAACACGAGACATTGAGTGAGATTCATAAGAAATTGGAGGAGATTGGGTGGAGGATCAGACGGCTGGGATACGTTCCTGATATAAGCAATGTTTTGCATGATATTAGTGAGGAGGAGAAGGAAATGGCTTTGTGTTACCATAGTGAGAAATTGGCTATTGCTTTTGGGTTGATTAGCATGAGTAAAGGAAGTACTATAAGGGTCAATAAGAACTTGAGGATTTGTGGGGATTGTCATAACATGGCTAAACTCGTGTCGAGAGAATACGATCGGGTGATAGTCGTTCGCGATCGGGCGCGGTTTCACCATTTTGAGGGCGGTGATTGCTCGTGCCGAGATTATTGGTGAATTTGAATGGTGACATTGGGAATGAGAGGTGGAACAGAAATTGTATTGGGATGAATATGATAGATGTTGGATTTGCTTTGAGATTAGTGTAATATATGTCGGAAATAATCTCAAAATAAATTCAATAATAACTGTCATTCTAATATAATTTATTTTAAGATATTTTGAATAATTTTTTTTTTATAGGAACTCTTGTTTACGTAAATTATGAGAGAAGAAAATATTTTTTAATATTTTTGAATTATCAAATAATAATTTTTTAGATATTTTTTTAATTATAGATGATAAAAAGTTATTTTCAATTATTTATTTTCGCCATATAGTGTGTATCTTGACATTAACATATATATAT